ATGTGGACAGAAATTGGGTTAGTTTAAGGGAGGGGGGAGGGAAGGGTATATAAGGAACCTAGGGGGTAAGGGGAAAGAAGGAGCTCAAGAGAGGTAGGACCATAGGAAAAGGGTATTAGGAAGGGAGAGAGGGGAGAAATGGGGGGACCTTAAGTAGGAAAACTATGGTGGAGGGGTGAGACAATGCAAAAGATAAATAATGCCTAGCTAGTTTTGAAAACCAGAGGGAACCATATTACTCCTATAGCCTACTGACAAATTATACACAGCAGATCAAGAAACATATGTCTAGGTAAGGTTTATCTAAGAACAATTGGTCTTTGCCCAAGATTTATCTACATGACACACAGTAATTAAAAGTACCAGACTGGTGGAACTAAACTTCTTCGATGTTTAACAAAAATACTTTGAGGCCTATACTAATTTGGTCAGAGGGACATAAAGGACAGTTTTTGCTCCTTGCCATTCTAGGTCGACTAATTCCAGGGGACTATGAGTATCTCTAAAAATATCCTGTAATGGTGGTGGGTCACCTGTCCTCTTGATTAAGGAGGCTAAGGAGACCCCACCAGAGGGACTTGAACCTGTGTCCAGTCTACAAAGAGGAGGGTCAACACAGAGGAATCACTTTCTCCATGCTTTCAAGTGAAGCCAACTATGGGTTGAGCAGGACCTTAGACTTATCTTCACATAGGCAGAACTGGTAAAAGAAAGGAGCCAGGGGCTCCTCCCAAGCCCACGTGACCCCTTAGGAACAGATCCTCAAATGAGCTTAAGAGTAAAAATAAATTGGTGTATCTGGGCCAAATGTATGGCCTTAAACATCCAAAAGGAAAGTATAACCAAAGATTAAAGGGGTCAATATAATTTCTTAAGAGTTCATATAAATAGCTAAGGGCTACATAACATGCAACAATGCCAGATAGGAGATACCTTCTTTCGGGTTGTTGGCCAGGGTGACCAAAGTGACTCCCAAATAGTAACCTAGCATAGAACTGGGAAAATGAACAGCAGACCCTAAACTTATCTAAATAGTATTGACAACTGGTTGCTGCTAGAAAGGAACAGCTGACCCTACTAAAACAAAGACCTCTAGATAGGCTGACTAGATTCAACAGAAGGGCAAGTAGTAGGTATTTGCTGGGGTGCAGACAACACAGCAGACAGTACCAAGGATATCAGAGTATAAGGGCTCTAGTGGGGGGAAGGAGGCTGTGGGAAGGTGCCATCTGAGAAGTGGGTGTATAGCCAAATAAGATGGTTTGGGATGTTCTGTGTGACATACATACACACGCACACACACACACACACACACACACACACACAAAAAGAAAATCAACAAATTTGTAGAAATGTATTATATTTGAGGAGGAAGCATGGAAATTTACCTCATGCTAATTAGTAGAGGTGATAAACATTACCATTGAAATCTACCCGATGACTTCGTAGACATACACAGGTGCCATGGATCCAAGTGCAATCGATTGTGACTAGTAATAATTGGATGCATACAGATTAGAGATGCATGCACCAACATCTCAGTGTTAGTAGCAAAAATAATGAGTCTTTCTACAAGGAACAATATATTCTAAAATGAAATGGATATCTTTTTTAAAGGCTAAAAAACTCATTCAATTTTATGCCTTACAGGGCTTATACTGAATTCAATATTGTATAAGTGTATTAACTCAACTGTGAACCTAGAAACTTGCACCCACTTGTGAAAGAGATGTACTCTTGCTCCAAAGTGTGTTACTGAATATGTTAAGTCTTCAGTGAGATGCTTCTTCTAATCATGTAGTTATTAAAAATTTTAAAAATGATAAAAAAAATAAGAATTAGTAGATGTGAAAAACATTACCATTGAAATCTACCTGATGACTTTATATCCATGCTCAGATGCCAAGAAGCTCAGAAAGTAACCGACTGTCACTAGTTATAATCAGATATATAGAGATTTGAAATGCATGTACAAACATCTTAATGTCAATTGCATTGACTATGAATTTTTCTGTATGAAACTGTATTTTATTAATGAAATGAAGTTCTTTTTTAAAAGTTTAAAACCTCATTTAATTTTACGTCTTATAGGGTTTATACTGAGTACAATATTGTACAACTGTAATAATTCAACTGTAAACCTAAAAATTTACAGCCAATTTTGAAAAAGATGCATCTTAGCTCAGAAAATTTGTTACTGAATATGTCAATGCTGTTGTAATGAAATGCTTCTTCTAAGTATGTGGTTAATTAAATAAATAATTAACTGGAAAAAAAACACAAAGCACAAAACCAAAACCAAACAAAATATTGCTGCAGACAGGTCCAGTCTAGGTGATATACTTTGATGAACTACCTTTCAAATATCTTCTGCCAAGCCTATAGAATTTTCTAATTTTCTATTCTGAAAGAATAACCTAACTTGAGAAACATAGGTTTCTACCCTCAAGTGCACTGTGCCCTGACCTTCCCTGATGTCTTTCTGCCCACATACATCCTCCCACACTACTAACTTCTCAGCATTGCTACCCTCAGCTCACACCTCTATTTACTTCTGTATTTCTCAAAAGTTAACACCAACATTTAGCAGAAATAGGAAGGACTGTGACATATAAATTATATATGAACAAAAAAGCATTGACACCTACTAATTAAAAACGTTTAAAGAATGATTATTCCAAGTTTGTAGTGGACTGACTAAGAATGTTCATCATTGGTTCATGGGCATAGTCAAAAACACAGTCAAGATTCCTACTCAGAGTTGTTACTGTAACCCAGATCCTCAACCATCCTCCTGGAGACGATTGTCTGTCTTTGATTGGTGTTTGCAGTGTCTGCAGTCTTCCCAGAAGTATGGGTAGACACTTCTGACTCCAAGGTTCACGGTGCTTCCAGAATCTCTCCTGGTAGCTGTCACTGCTGTACGAATCCATTTATTGGAATCACGGAGACTTGGTCTCACCTTTGGTTTTCTTCACATTTCACTGCTTTAACTGTATGGTGGTGGCTGAGCCACTGCATAGCCTGAAACAGGCATAATCATCATCTTCATTTTCCAGATGAAGAAATTAAGAGTTAACAGAATTGTCTTAGACAGGATCAGACTCGGTGTCTTCTTGTTAAAACCCTCCTTGAGAAGGATGCCTTATCTGTTCATCACTCACAGCTCCAGTCCACACCCAACACACTTATGACTAAAATCGCCACTTCCAGCACCACTTCTGGGCTAATGCTCTCACAGTGAGTTGATTCTCTGAAACACATTCAGATTTTTCCCAATATTACTCATGATCCCAATAAGAAAATAAAACATCCTCAGAGTTTGATTTTCATAGACCATGTCCCCCCATGGCGATACTGTACAGTGCTAAGATCACCATGCTACTGGAGAAGAACGAACAAGGGATTAGAAGAGATGCATGTCCATGATGACCCCTAAATCTAAAGTGTAAAGAGAATGTTAACAAAAGTGAGAGGGGAGCCGAGGAAGAAGACTGTCCGGTGGAAGCAAGGCTAGAGAAGAATGGAGCCATTTTGGTTGGTGGGAAAGCCCAGAGAAGGTATAATACACATGGTGTCCTCCTCTCATGCTTCAGTCAGTTGCTAGCGTGCTGTTTGTTGACTGGATCCAACCCTGTGCCAAAGCACAAAGAAACTAGTGTGAATCGGGACAGAGTCAGGTATAAAATGGATCTAAAGGGGCAACACAGAGTCACCAGGGTTTCCCATCAAATCCGTCCTGCCAGAAAACACGTGAGGCATTTTGTGCTATACATAAATACATACCTATCCAGGATCTAGGAATTCTACTTCTCTGTGTATATCTAAAACAAGCAAACAACACCAACAACAACAACAACAAAAATAATGCACAAGAATGAACGAAGATAGAAACACTGAAAGTAAGAGCCAGGCTCAGTTCCCAGTACCCATACTGGGCAGCTTACAACAGCCTGTAACTCCAGTTACAGAGGCTCCAATGCCATCTTTTGGCTTTCATGGGCATTTCATGCATGTGGTGCACTTACATACATGTAGGCAAAACATTCATGCACATAAAAATAAATAAATCTTTTTAAAAGAATGGAAACAATCCCAATTTCTATTAATCGTAAAATGGAGACACTGATATAGTCCTAGAATACAGGAATATGCAAAGAACAAACTACTTAGAAATGCAGTGACTGGGGCTGCAGATATACTCAGCAGTTAAGAGCACTTGCTGCTCTTACAGAGTGTCAGAATTCAGTTCCCAGGACCCATGTCAGGCAGTCCACAACCACCTGCAACTCCAGCTGCAGTGGATCTGACACTCTTTTCTGGCCTCCACAAGCACCCACACTCAAGTGTATATACCCACACACAGACACACAGGCACACATAATTTAAAATAATAAATAATAAATAAAATATAAAAAATAATAAATGCCTCAACTTGAATAAATCTCACCAACATAATATGAAGTTTTAAAAGTCAGACAAAAGAGAGTCTCACTGAATTACTGCATTTAGAAGATTCTAAAATAAACTAAACCAACTTCAGTGATAAAAGAGTAGTGTTTACCTCTTGGTGTGTGGGAGGGGAGACAGGGCTCAGTTCTGACTAGAAAGGAATAGAAAAGACCCTGTGGGTAGTGGTTACTTGGGTACAGGTGTGTAAAATTCATTGAACTGACTCTTTAAACAGGTTCACTTCATGAAAACTCTATCTTAATTGAAGCAACAATAACCACTATTATGATAAACCTTACTCATGTAGCAAAGGCATCCAGACTTGGGCTGCCTACCAGGTGATAAGAGAAAGTGGTCAGCTTCATCAGGAATCAGTCTTCTCATTTATAAACTTGACATTTTTCACTGATGAAGAAAAAAAAGCGAAAAAAAAAAAAAAAAAAAAACAGATTACCAAGATGCAAATAACAGAGACAAAAAGTCATCATCTTCAGAAAACATTTGGTCAGTGGACCCAAAGCAACTTGTCAGGAACACAGGGAGACCTTAGGAATTGTTAATATGCTGAAGAAGGCAAACCTTTCAGGCCCCTCTGGTTGTGGTGCACTGGCTGATGTCTGTTTAAGTCTGGCTCATAGTACTGTCCTAAAATGTTACCAGGCCACATGAGATTAGAGCTTCAAAACAGTGTGACAGGTAATCTATTTTCATGAATAGTGGTCAGAAACATTGCATGACTGATTCCAGAGCATAATTTATTTTTTCTTGGTAAATTGAATAGAACATAGAATTGAGTGAAATTATATAAACTCACCCAGCTTACTGTTTTCTCATTTACTACTAGGTTGGTTTCAATGCAAGAGCTATTAATACTTCTAAATTTGACCTTCAATTACATGGTATTTTAATATCCTGACCCACAGACACAGATTTAACAGATAATTTTTGCTATGCAGTTGTCTCAATGGACCCGATCCTATGATGACTAAACCTCACCCTGGAAATAGCTTGTTCCCCGTTAGAGTGGAATTAATGTTTCTGAGCACCAAGACTCCACTCTATAAATTGTTTCTCCATGGTACCTGACATGCTGTGAAGCCACCAAAGAGCAGTACATGACGATGAAACATAAGAAAAGGATGACTGGATCTGAGGATAACAGAATCTGAGTAGAGATGTACTAAATGCAAGCAAATAGCAAGATCATCTCAGGACCCAAAGAACTGGGGATGTACATAGAATTTGCATCACCCATAGCCAGAGGGCCACAGTAGTGTGTAGATACAGTATTTCTCTGACATGTAATTCTATGAAACCTTCTCTCTAAAATCCCCTCTTGCAAGCATCTCCTATGTATCCGCATGAAGAAATGTGGACCCTTTCCCCTTTTCCCAACCAAGCTCACGCTGAGCTAATACCCTGGTGAGCCAGCTCCTGACAAGATTATGTCTATACTGAGGCCCCATTTTCAGTCAGACTGCAGTTGCTGCCTAAGCCTCAGTGTTCTTACAGCACCCCAAATATTGGAATAGATACTGTTAGTCTGGGATTTTTTAGCTTCTTATATACATATAATTATATAATATGTGCTAAATACAAATATACATATGTGTAAATGATAATAAACAGTCCACCTCTATTCACAATGCGGCCTTAAAAAGTCAAAACTTTACCACGCCTTTGTACCCTGCTCCCGAGACCTCTTCCTTTGTTCCTGATATTCCCAGGACATATTTATCTAGGACATAGTATTGGAAGTATTGATTTTTAAATGAAGGAAGATCTTTATGATTTTGTCACTGTTAGCTAGGACAGAATTAGAAAGGAGTTTTGACTGGAGTGACAGGGTGGTATGTAGGGAACCTTTCCTTTAGCACGAATCCTGGTGGCATCCCTACAATTGGGAAGTTAAAGCCAAAGCTGGCACACAAGTGGAGAAGCAAAATCTGGAACTTCAGTGCTAAGTCTGAATCATTAACACAAGTAGAAATTCTCCCCCACCTCCAAAATCTCCTGACTATGTGTAAAAACAGAAAACAAAACAGAGACAGAGCATACCTGGAAGAAAGATGTCTCACCTGAAAGACCTGGTCAAGACACACTAAAATCAGGAGGTCAGTTCAAAGTTAAAGGACAGTAAGTACGCTCCACAAATACGCAAGCTGCTGTGAGTGAGCCCCAGCAGGAACAGTAAGCAGAGCCAGCATCCCCTTCAGGGACTGTGGGTAATAGGATTCTTAAATGCAAAATATAAAACAGGTATATTTGAAATATTTTCTGTAATTAAAGACACAAAATCAATATAAGCAAAGAAAATGTTTGAAAGGTTCTATATCTGGAGTGCAAGATGATTTTTCTATTACAGAAGTCTCTTTTGCTTGTTTCTCTAATTTTTTTCCCATTCATCAGAATTCTTTTTTTCACCATTTTTATAGATTTTTTGTGTATTTCATAAATATATATGAATCATATTTAGACCCTTTCCTCTATAGGCAGGCCCCCATACCCCCACCAAGATTTCATGCGTTCTGTCATATATATTGATGCGTAGTGAGTCAAGTTTGATGTCCCTTGGTGTGAGGTCATCCACTAGAGCCTGGTCAACCTATCTATCTAGAATCACTCCCTTAAAGAAGACCAACCATTCCTCACCCAACAGTGCTCAGCTGCCAATATTTTCTCATCTAAGGTTGGGGTTTCTTACCCATTTCTCCAATCCTATGTTGGGTTTTTGTCTGGTTTGAGTTTACATAGGTCTTACATCATTGCTGCAAGTTCACATAAGCAAGTTTCCAGCCACTTGAAAAACTCCGTTTCCTTGTGGTCATCTACCACCCCTGGCTCTTACAGTCTTTCCACCTCCTCTTCCACAATGAACCCTGAGCCCTGGGTAGGTGAGGTTTAATATAGGCATCCTTTCAGTTCAGGGACATACATACACTGCAGTCTCTTATTCTCTACATTCTGGCCAGTTGTGGGTTTCTGTGTTATTTTTATTGAATTTTTATATATCTCATACACAATTTCTTAATCATCTTTATACCCCTTTCCAGAGTCCCCCCACTGGGTTTCACACATTCTGTCACCTATGTTAAGGCCTATCAAGTCAAGTTAGTATCCCCTGACCTCCTTCAGTGCACATTCATCCACCAGGATCTAGTCTAGAGTCACTATGTAGAGTCACTCCCTTAAAGAAGATCAGCTCTTCCTCACCCAGCAGTAATCAGCTTAGTTGTAGCTTTCTGTATTAATCACCATCTGTTGCATGAGGAAGCTGCTGGTGAGTGTTGAGAGCTGCATTAATATTTTCTCTGCCCTGTTTCACTATGTGGAAATTTTTAACCATGCCTTCAATCTCGTTATTTCCTTATCAACATTCAAGTTTCTCTATCTTTATGTGGAAGTTATGATACAGTTCTACAATATGCCTGCTTTTATCTAAGTCCTCACATTTATTTTAAAAAATGTGTTTATATTTGCTATTTTAGTGAACATTGTTTTCATTGGTAATATTCCTTTTTTGTATTGAAAACTTCCAGTTTTATTTTATTAGTTTTCCCTACCAAAAACCCACAAGAACCAAACATGTAACTTTCTTGGAGGTCTCCATCAGGTGTACATCTGTCTTACCCACCCCTGCTCTTCCTTCTACTGCGTCCCACACTTTCTTTTTGGCTCATACTGTTGCTGTTTTCCTGTGGAATAAGGTGCTGGGTATTAGGGTCTAATCCATTCTTACACTTTAGTTGTGATGACTGGGCTTACTGGTGATGTGTCTGCTTATCAGCAAGACTGCTGTTAGTTTTAGTCCCTAGGAAGAACTAGGAGTCTAAATGGTCGTAAAAGAAGAAGAAAAGGGCGTTGCTGACTTGTTTCTTTTTATTTTTCCCATCAGATCACTCCATGTGGCCTTTTACCCTGGTCACAGTCATTAGTTTCAGCTTATCAGAACATTCTCACAGTGCCTCTTCACGGGCACCTGCTAAATTGTTCTCACTCTTGATATGTCTAAGTCTCAGCAACACAGAACTTCTGAGGTAATGGCCTCCCTCTCTTCAGAAAGCAGAGCTCTGCTCTGAGATGCTCTTTGTCAAGCTTATGATATACCAGCAGCAGCCTTATGGGTGGCACTCTCCTTCAAACTCCAGAACTTTATTTTACTTCTGTGGGTCCCTCCATGAGGCTTGTGGGTTCTGACCACCTTCCTGATGAGATTACTGATCTCAACTTCCAGTTATTCTTCCAACCCTGAGGGTGCTAGCTGTTTTCTATTATGATCCCCTCCAGTGTTCCTCTCATCCTTTGGCAGTCTTCCATCACCCAGTCAACAAGTCTTCTATGTTAAATATCTCTGGTAAAATGCCAAGTGAAGTCTATTTTCCTGATAGAGCTCAATGGATAATGCTCTGCTCATTTATTTCCACTATTTCCCATTGTAAATATAGATGGTGATGTTACCATCTCTGCTGCCACTCCCTCCTTGTCACACCAGTATAGAAGGAAAATCTGGACCACATCTCTCACAATAACCTTCTCCTATGTACTATTTTTAATCATGGATTCAAATGTCCTTCTCTAAGTTAAGAATTGAAGCTACTATTAAAAGAACAGTCATAGACCAGGCATCGAACTCAGAGTAGCCTACGGTGAGTTCCATTTCAGTGCTTATATGAGTAAGCTGCTCAACGGGAATCCAACATTCTTAGGGGGTGAGCTTTTGGGAAACCACCAGAGAACCAAGCATAATTCTTTTGAAAAATAAAATTATTGAATTGCTGACCTAACTCTTAGGCTGCACTTCCTACTTCTTCAGGTCATTTTTTTCCCTTCTGATTAAAATATTAAGATAAATTGATGAACATCTGTCTTACCATTCTCCTACTAGTCAACTTTTAATGAATTAAATTATTCCAAAATGCCTATTGACAAGAAAATGTGCTGTTTTGAAAACTCAGATATCCACACCAAAGAAAAACTATGACTTATTCTTGAAGATACACATACAAATTTAAAAAAATAACGATTTTGAGTGGACTCCCTGTATATGAGCTTGTGAATTCTCAAACAGTGATTCTAAACTGAGGCTGTTTGACCACAGAATGACCACAGGAGATTTTTAACACATAGGCGTCTGAGCCTCATCCCTGGAGAATGACTGAAGTTGGGTCTTCAGGATGTAGGTATCCTGAATGCCTTTGGTGATTTTGGAATATCATTAAAGCCTTCTTTTGAAACCACTGTCCTCTTTCCAAACCTTTAAACCAGCCTGGAATATTATGTTCTTAAGAGTAATCTAACTTATGCCCCATGCTTGCTTTTCTCCTTTACGTACCTCAATATCGAAGTATTCTCAGTTCATGAATCATTTGGAAGCAAATACTTCAGGAAGTAGGCATTTAAAAACTCCTCCTGGCTGACGCCATCCCCCCCAACAAGGATCCCTTATTCTGTACACAATGTCCATGACTACGCTTACTTCAGAATGAATGTTAATGGTAGGTCTGTGAAATCAACATGTTGGACCACGAATTTATATTTTATAAATGCAGAGTGAGTCAAGATGCCAAATGGCAATGTCATAATCCTTCCATTCTCTGCCAACCTATTGCCTTACGGATTTAAATATGCTTCTCTTGAAACAGATGGCTCTCCCTGCTCTCCAGGTTATTACATAAGGAAATGAGGAACAGTGGACTGACTGTGCCTGATTTCCAGGGAGGCAAGCATATTACACGTGACAAGACCCCAGGTGTAGGGAGAGAATCTAGCTTCAGGCATAGGCTTGTTTGAATTTAACCTTCGCTCCATTTCTTTCTGATCATGAGAACTTAGCAACTCACCTCATTTGATCACCATTTCCTCTTCTGTAAAAAGAAATAATACTATCTCCTTCACATGCTTATAAGAAATTATATATATATACACATATATATAAAGCAAAGAGAAAATAGAAAATATATAACAGGCTTGCTTTCTTAAAATTTATGTGTGAAAAAGCAGAATTTTCCTGTTTCCTTCTCAATTGCATTTACTCTGACTGAGGGGGCCACCAGATGCGATTTAATGTTTGCACAGGGTGGTAATTCTTTTTCAGGGACTCATAACACCACAGTTATAACAATAAGCAAACTCATACTGACACCTATTTGTAAAAGGTGCTTACCTGATCTTGCTTTCTGAAAGCACTAGAATATTTTGCTGGTAGCCCAAACAATTTAGGTATTTGAAAGTGTGTGAGTGTGTGCACTCTCTCATGTGTGTGTGTGTGTCTGTGTGTGTAATAGACAATAATATATTTTAATATGACCCCAAAATTATTTTATGAAAAGTACTGAACCCAGTCACTTGAATGAGAACTATACAAGAATGTTTAAATTAGTTTAAATACATTTACATAAAACAAATAAATAATGAAAATTCGGGGTCCTTTAAATAGGAATTAGTGAAGTGACAGTAGTTACAAGAATCATTCAAGTACAATTCGCTATATTTCACATCTTCTGAGGACTTTGTAACCCAAGCACTCCTATAATACCCAGGCAGGATGCTGTTTTCTTAATTACAGCTTGTATATTATTTCAAGTTCCAAATTCACACCTTTACTTAAGCAAATTTTTCGGGTGATACTTGTTTCAAGCAGTTCTTGAGTTGCACCTCAAGCCTGTTATTCCATCTCTGGAAGCCACAGCCAACTTCAGGTAGCTAAATGTCAGTGCCACCATGCCTCAGCTCTGCTCATTTCTCTGGCTTCCTGCCCTTGGACCTGAGAGAACATGCCTATAGAAGTCCAGTTGGTAAGACTAGCATCCTATGGGACAACCTCTGGTCAGTGCAGCTGAGATACTGAATGATGTCTGCTCTTCTTCCTCTCATTCTGAAACTTTAGAGGTGTCAAAGACCCCTCAGAGGTTTACAATGGTACCAAGTGCTGGTAGACCACAGCTATGACTGTCTGGCTAATGCACACTTATTTTAGCAGTCCTTCCTCTACTTCCCTTCCAGTCTTTCATTCATGCCCCTGAAGTTGTATTGCCAGGTAAATTACCTTCATTACAGGTGCATTTCATTGGCTAGGGGAACAAAGGGGACTAATGGGCATAGGGAGGGGTAGGAAAGGGGTAGATAGAGGGCTTACAGGGGGATATGTTGAATATATAATATGTACTCATAGGGAAGATGTCCTTATGTAACACACACTACTACGTCCAATGAATATATAA